TTCTCCTTTTCTTATGTTAACTTATGTTAACTTGTGTCTGACGTGTGAAAAGTTCGAAACGAACATAAGTTTTACATACGGTATGTTCCTTTATTAGAAACACAAAAGAATCACTTATAATTAGCTGTAATATAATTGCCTATAGGGCTTCGTAATATTTTTTCAATATATATACATATATATATATAATAATTGTATTGTGATGTTAACTTAAGCTATGAATAAAGATGTCGGAGAATTTTTCGAGGTCGCTGTAGTAAATCCTATTGCTGAGATGACGGATCACTTTCTCAATTTTTTAGCTTATTCGACGAACGCTAAGAAATAAGCGAATGTCGATTATTCTCGATAAATAAAAAAAAAAAAAAGCCAGAATGTACCCGCATAATTATATTGAATGACGATGAAATGGCGATGATTGATTGGAACTGTACATTGTGATCAGCAAACAGACTACAATGTAGTTTGTTCGTGATTGAATGAACAAACGGAAACACTTGTGTAATAAAGTAGATATCCATACAACAAAAAAACATCGTATTCTTTATTCTTCTCACTTTCCAAAAAAGAAAGAAAAAAACGATCGACCACGAATCTTACGTTTAAATAAATTTTATTCTATAATGATTAATATAAAACTGTTTTCTTTTTTTTATTCCATTTCAACGTCTACAACAGCATCTTCTACTATCACTTGCTCTGATGTTACAGGAGTCTGTACCGTAGGTAAAGGATCAGGAGATCGAGTGTAAGTATTACTGGTCGAATGTTCCTTAAAATATTCACCACCTTTTTCTTCGTATTCTTTTTTGCTTACTAAAAATTCAGGAAGATTTCCATTTAGACCAAAATCCCTTGCGCCATACCATGCGTCTATGCTGGTATTTTTTGCAATATTTATTTGAAAATTTGATCCAAATGGTCGCATTTCACGAAGTTCTCGATTCAATCTTTCAAGTAAACCAGGAAATTTCGTTGGACCTCCAGTAAGAAATATATTTCCTACCAATCGTGATTGCTGTTCGGATGGATAAAGCTTCAAAACGAATTCGATTGTTTCTGCAATGCCTGCTTCCACGGAACCTATCATAGATGGTTGAAATAATATTTCTGGTGCTCTCAAACGTTCCACTCCCACATGTAATTGATGAGTTTCTCCAGGAACCATAGGGACATTAGATCCAGCACCGTCAAATTCTGGATCATGATGTCGTAACACATCTTCCAATTCCATAAGTTTTTCTTGTTCTACTTCTGAATCTGAGTCTCCACCTTCCTGTGTAAAAAATGTAAAAATTAAGAAACATAATTTCGAAATATATTTAAAAGTGAAAGAAAAAATATTTTAAAAATCTGTACGAACCCTATTTATAACTTTATAAACATCCCAATCTTCGTCTCTCATACCAAAATCATCATCGCGTTTTTCTTTTCTTGCTAATTGACTTATTATGCGCATTCTTTCCTGTGCGGCTGCTGTTCTACGTTTTGCCATATCTTGTCTACGTTGTCTTTTAGCCATTCGTCTTTCTAATATTTCTTGCCTATAAAGAAAAACATTTAACATCGTTAAGATGATAAAAAAATTAGTTTGCTTCGTACCTTTTCTTTCGTACACTAGCGATCCATTCGTCAAAATCTTGTTGATCTTTAGGTTGTAGACTGGATTTTATTTTTGGTTTTTGTTCTTCCATTGCGATGTTTTCCTCCTGTGAATTAGCCGCTACTATTTTTTGCCTAGTTCTTTCTACTTTTGCTTGCAAATTATTAATCATTTTTATTAAATCTGCTTCGTTTGCGAGAGAGTAAGTTTTTAATGCTTGATCGAATTCATCTGTTTCACCTTCTTCTAATAAATCTTGAACGGCTAATAATTGATTTAATTGTTCTTCATCTTCTGCTAACTAAAAATATATTTTTCTTAATTATTGAAATAAATTTATATGCATAAATTAATAAAAATTACAAACTCTTTCTTCTCTTTTTCTAGCATTGATTTCCATTAATCTTCTAGCTAATTCCCGTTTTCTTTCTTTTTGCTGTTCAACTGTTAAACCAGGTGCATTTGCAGGAGCAACATAGGGTAATTGTACTCTTAATACGTTCATATCATAATAATCTGGATCTGCCCACTTAGACGTTTCTTCTTGATAGTTTAAAGCTATCATTGAATGTTCATGTATTAACTCCTATTTGAAGAAAATAAAGTCAAAAATTTTTTACATTGAGATATAAATCATTTCTGTACCTCTGCTCGACTAGGTGTTATAGCATTAACATGAACAGGATATTTAAGTTGAAGCAATCTATGCATATAAGATGTAATGTGGTATCCACCAACATTAATTCTTCTTGAATTTACAGGGTCTGCTTTACCATCTAGTATAGGTATTATATGTGTAGTATGATATCCAATACTAATTATTAAACCATCAGACGGACAATTATTATGCTGATAAGAAAATAAACAATCCACTCCATAAGCTATTGCAGGTACATTATAACATTCAAATAAAAGTTCCGCCATTACTAAAATCAAGATTATAAAATTTAAATTTTAAACTAAGATCAGATATTTTTTATATATTTATGTACTTACAATTTCTTGAATAATTAGGATTAAGAAATGCTTCTGTTAAAATTATAGGATGATTCACTGCACCTTCCGTATCTATTCCCATATGAGTAAAAGTATAATCAAATATCTGTTCTTGAGCTTCAAAATGTGTAACTACATTTCGATCAAATTGTGTTTTTAATTGAAATCTAACAGCTTCAATATTAGTTATATCATTTCCAACCTGAGGTTCACCATCCTTTTTACCACGTTCTTTGCGTGGTTTAGCGATAAGATTTTTAAATACTAATTGAGGTTCTTTCTCAGTAGCCCAACCAACTCTACAATTGTACGATCCTAAAAAAATTATTTATAAATTAGTATTATACTTATTTTATATTATATAATAATATATTACAGTGTGCTTACCATTATCAATTACAAGCGGTGTTGCTTCGGATTTTACTCTATTTGGATAAAGATGAATAATATCAGGTACTGGTTTTACATCTTTTAATTCAAGAACTTCCATTTTTGTATTAAATATGTTATTTGTTACTTTTTTAATTAGACAATAAAAAATATTTATATCACAAACAAGGCAAATGATATAGATCTATCATCAAATGCATTTTTTTGTCGAATCTCTAAAATGATATTACTACCTTAATGTTATTCAATCATAAATTAAAATTAAATTTTTTTGTGAAAAGCATAAATAAATTATACGAAATATTAACTAATTCTTTAAATATTTTTTCTTATTACATTTCAAAAATGTGTAAAATTATCGGATATTTGAAACAATATAGCCATCTAGCAGTGAATAAGTAGAACTAATTGCTAAATACCAAAATCAAAAAATTAAAATTTCTTACTATATTATTGTAAGCTATATTTTTATCAAATTAAAATTCAGAATTTTTAAATCTTTAAAAATTAAAAAATTAAATCTATATATTGAAAAATTTTTATTTTTTAATTTTCTCCTATAACGATTAGTTTCACCTATTGTTGTGCATCGATGCTTAAAATTATTACCAGCGAATGGTTAATTCTATTTGTTCATCAATAGATGGCGCGTTGATGTCAAAAAATTAATATCAGCAGATGATTAGTTCTGCCTGTTTACTACTAGATGGCTATAGTATTTCTATATTCATTGTATAATCAGTATAATTTTTAAAAGTTTCTTATAAAATTAAACTCACGTTTTCTTTAGAGTACAAGTTTTAATTTGAGCTTTTAAGAATTAAAAATTTATTCAAGAAATGAGAGATAATTAGATTTTTCACAATATTTGAATAGGAAAATAATATTTAAAGAAATTTATTACAAATATGTCTGATTAATTACTTTAATTGATAAATATAAATTATTAATCGTTAATTATTATATACATACAATTAAAAATTTTTAAAAAAGGATTACAAATAAAAGAATTGTTGCATAATCTTTAGAAATACTATCCACATTTATCTGAACAAAAGAGGTATTCAAAATATCGACCTTTGACATTACAAATATCATAAATTACATTACATCGAATCATATATTATAATCATACAATTTTGCTATTTACTATTCTTTCAATAGTAATTTTTTAATAGTAATTTTCTTTTAATACTTTTCTTCTTCAAAAATATTTATTTACCTATAAAGATTTTTATTACACAAAAAAAATTAAAAAAAAAGAAAAAAATTAACGGTTCATAATATTTATCTAAATCATTCTTGCATCATCCGCCATTTCTAATGTTCTTTCTACCATCTCTGTACATATATCATCTCGTATTCGCGATAAATCACAAACGGTAGACCGACATGTCGTGACTCTGGTTAACTTTACAACGTGAATTGAAATTGTTCTGCTTTCTCGAGCCATTAGTCACGGGATACTGTTTTTAAAAAGCGATCGTTCGATGAAAGAAGAAAGTAAAATGGTATTTTTATTCAAATCGTCTAACGTTCTTTTCTTTACGTTTCATAATAGGCGCCACAGGCATGAGCCTTCGTACATTTTATTACTCATTACCTATATTATAACAACTACTTTTTCAATTGCAGAAAAAAACCAAAGCAAAGTTATAAACAGTGGTCGTGTCGAGGAAAGATAATATGGAAATATTCAAAGAATCCGGAAGAGAACGTGTGCACAGAAATAACGATATTAACGTTCATGGACACTTTCAAAGTGTTGCGCAAATATAATTTCACAAACGCGCATGAAATCCTACATTCTCGATTGATTGAAAAGAGATTTGGTGATCATTCTTCAATCGTTACTTTCATAAACCTGTTAAGAAATAATGAATGAACGTTACGTCTGTATTATTATTCTTGTTTTAATATTTTTTTCAAGTCATTAAACTTTATAGCCTTATGGCCTTTGTTTTTGGATAAATATATATATATATATATATATATAATTATAAGTACGCAACATTCATTTTATTTCTTTCGTTTCAGTTATAATTTTATCTATTGCAAAATTAAATCTCTCTAATAAACAAGTCTTCTGTCACGTTTGTTTCGATACTATTATAAATAAATTAATCGTTTTTGTCAATAGATTTCGAAACACTCGTCAGTTGGCAAACGATAGAGATACGTCGTTTTAATCTATATATCTTGCTTTATTTTTAAAATCATTTATCTAACTCGTGTTCAAAAAACTTTCTATATTTTCTTCTAATTTTATCTCCAAACATTTTAAAATGTTTCCCAAATTTATAATAATTATCCTTTTTAATTTTCACACAAAATTTTAATCCAAAATAACGAATAAGCAATTACTCTTTACTCTCTACACATACAACAGCTTAACACAACAGATTAATACAATTTCATCGCTTTGCAGAGATTCACATCCTCTTCGATTGCTCTGAATCCTTTTGAATCAAACCAAAATCGATCGGCCGAATCGATCCTGAAATATATCCCAGCTTATCACGTATTCATAACAAATAGAAGGTGGGGGGCACCCGGAAGGAGACGAACAACCAGATATACGTACATATATATACATATATATATTTATACATACATATATATATTTATACATACATATATATATTTATACATACA